CCCGGTTTCGGTGTACGGGTATGAGTAGTGTCATCTTGTTTTACTGATGTCTGTAATTCGATCATACTTTTTCTGTTTTCTTGCAATAGACAATGATACAATGCGAAAAATGTGCACCTTAATTACGAGTAAAGGTACAGACATCTACAAAAATATTGCTAACCAAAATTATGCTACCCATACATGTAACTGAAACCGGGGTATCTTAACCTCTCTAATAATAAATTCCAACGTGATAATAAATTCAAAATACACCAACCGACAAACGCGTAAAACATGTATAATTAAGAAATTAAACAATTTGACCGTGCCAAACTTGCAAAATGAAACACAAATACAGATTGCAGTCCACACAGAAAATGAAGCGAATCCAACCAGTATGAGTCGCAATATATGGCCAGAACTAAAATATCTGACTTATAGCAGATGGTAATAATGATTATAATAATACAGACACAAACTCCAATATAATTCTTAACCACGATACAGCACGCTAAACAATTGAGTTCATGGACAAACGCATTAACATGAAGAAAGAAAGAGTTACCAGCTTTTAATCATCAGTTTGATGTCATGTTCAATGCGATAAAAATAAAATAACTAACACAAATTGGCAAATTAGATCTTAGCCAAAAGGCCGAAGATTTGCCACCGATATTTCAATGGAACACTTGTGCTACGAAAACGTGGTGAAAAGGATCTCGCTTGTGTGCGATTATGACTTTGACAAACGCTTGATTACTTGTTGCACAAGCACAGCAAGTCTGTTGTGATCGCCCACCGCGAATTTCGCAGTTCTCTTGCGCATGTGAGTGCTGTCATGGAGAGGAGCACAGTGGCCATGTTGCATTGACCGTGAGGCGAGCGTTGCAAACTTATCAGCTTTCACACTCTTTAAAGGTTCATGAATATGTCGAGCTTCTTTCACTTGCAAATTGCATTGTGACCCAGAAAGGTTTCAGATCACGCACCATGAAATAATGTCACACATTAACTACACTGATAGTTCAATTGTTCAATGTTCTTTTTCTAAATATGCGAATATCTAAGTATATAAATATCTCTATGTACATATAAAACAGAGAAACTACAGTGTAAATGGAGAAATATTTCCTCACAACAAAGTCACTAAATATCTATATGTTAGTATATATATCGTTTTATCTATATATATATATTAAAGTTATTGAGAATCATTCATATGCTTATAGTAAATTTCAGCGGAACCACGGATCACATCAGAACAGCACAGCTTACGGAAAAGAGGTTTGTAAGTCTTGGACATACGTAGTTGGTTAAGGACCACTTTGTTATTCGGGTGCCATCCTAACATGCCGATCACAAATGCGTAAAGATTACATTTGATACCCAGTTGATGGAAATTCTGTTTTAACTGGTTGTACTTTAATAACTTATTATAATCAGCAGTGGCCAACACATCTCCATTCTCAAATGGACAGGTGACATCGATGATGGTGGACGACCTTCATCTGAGGATATCTGGGCAACATTCATCATTAACTGCAGGAACCTGTTGGTCAATACGCATGTTACCGTACAAAACTGCTTTATTCAGGTGTTCAGTAGTGTTATGGCACTCACAGATTTGGACCATGTTGCTTTTGCAGTGGCAGACTGTGAGGTAAGGTTTCGGAATGAGAGTCACACACACAGCAAAAAGTTGAACAATTCAACCAACAAGATTTATTCTGATTAGTTGGCACATTTAATCTTGCATGATGTATGAATCTCCAATCCTTGAATCTCCTATTTAGACCTATATAAATCCACAATGAACCATTAATGAAAGCGTCTTTGATCAGTGCCCTCGCAACTTTACCATGATCTGGAAGAGCCAATAATTTGAAAGAAGCACGCTCTTGCACAAGATGATGTAGGAAGGAAGATGTCGATTTAGCAAGACAAGGACCTTTTGTATCTATGGAAATTGATGGAGCTTTGTTGTCTGGGATGTTGAAAGTTAGACCTAACTGGCTGACCTTGCTCAGCTGCAGAGGGAGTGGGTGCGATAATGCATGCGATTGGGATGAAACTTTCCTTCGGTACATCCAGATAGAAAATCCCGAATCAAGGCAGGAGATGGATATGATTGGATAGCAAACATTACAGCTTTCCTCAACTCACCAATTGCAACAGCTGAGACAAAAGGATCACTGGAAGATAACATCTTGATCACCTGGACAACAATTTGGATATCAACTTTGGCTAGGGAGTCTTGAAAACCGGCTTTGGAGGAAGCGAAGATGACGTGGGAGGTAGCTCTAAGGGGAAGGTTACAAATTGAACAAACAACTTTAACTCATTCCCATCCGGTAAAAAATTAGCAATTTCGAGTGGTGTTGTTTTAAATGCATATATCTTTCAAAGTATACATCGTACGAGAACAGAAATTGCATCGTTCGAAAGAGGAGGACTTCCACTTTCCAACGATACCAATTTCAATTTCATGCGGAGTTTGGTTAACGATTTACTCGCATAAATTTGCATAAATTATGATATAAAAAAATGTTGCAATTATGCATAAATATCTCTACCGGTTCAAATTTCAAATATGTCAAAAAAATTTATGAATGTAACTGCTATGAATGTAATCTACTGCAAATACTCAGAGTTCTTTCATATTTAATCTTCCCGTCATATACATCGGAAATTAATATTGGCGGATTGAATTGAGTTAACTAGCTTCTTTCTGTACAATACAAGGGAAGCTTTTTTGAGGCTCACCAGCATGTAATGCAAATGTAAGACAAGGGTGAACAAAAGTTCGAATGGCGTCCAATTTTTTCCACAGAGCCAACAAAGATGAACTGATTCTCTCTAGATCTCTACATAAATCATCAACTAGGGAGTCAGCATCACAAATCATACCAATAGGTACACCGAGGTATCTGTAATGTTCATGTTCTTTAAGGGCGGGAATGTCTTTACCTTGGACTTTGAGTTTATTCAGCTGGATGTTATCTTTGCATCTTTTGTTGCAGGTCATACTTAAGGATGCATACTTATTATGAAGGAATTTGGGACCAATGAGATCAGCAGACGAACTGGCAGCATCTAATAGGAGTTGTAAGTTATCCTTGTTTCTGGATATAAGAACGAGATCATTGGCATAGGCAAGGACTTATATCTCACCATTATAATGCTTAACAGGACCAATGTTATGGCCTGATGAAGAGACAGCATGAAGGATGATGTCAATGCACATGTTAAACAGAATAGGGGATAACAGACCTCCTTGTTTGACACCCGCTGGGATTCGAACTGTGTGATACCAGCTGGCATTCGAACTTCAGTGGTGGCATTCATATACACATTCTTCACGAGGTTCACAACAGAGTCAGGAACACCAAGATGGGATAAAGTGACCAAAATGACTTCATGAGGAACACTACCTCACCAGATCTAACCAGGCAAGGAATAGGTTATCTGGTGTCGTTTGGCATCAAGAACAAGGGATTGTAGGATGAATGTGTCCTCATAACAACCTTCTGTGGGTCTCGCGCTCTTCTGGGAACTTGATAGTTAATTTCAACAGAAGAGTTCACCAATCACTCGGCCATTACACTCATGAACAACTTGTATATGCAACTCATAAGTGCAATAAGTCGGAAGTTAGAAACATCACTAGCATCACCTTTCTTATGTATAAGAACTGTCCAAGACGTCTTCCACTGAGCAGGGACATCATTCTCAAGAAGACATCGGTTGTACATGTTACATAAGACCACTCCTTTTTGGTCAACAGATCTCTCATGGCATCTCTTTCCTATGTTTTTCATCACTTTCAATTTTCTTCAGCTGCCTTTTTATTGAGTAAAATTTACATTTAGTGCTCGCATGAAACAAATACCCTTATCAAAGGTCCTTTTTCATTGCTGCAACATATTATCCATACAAATTTCCAATATGTCTAACACTCCAAGGATAGTATGGCACCAAAATAAGTCTGTGATACCCACAAAAGAACACTCAATCACTATTTGCAAAATGTCTTTATTTCTACGGAACCTTACTATATACATTCTTACATAATCAGTACACCATTGACTTAGTTATCAGTGGCATAACCAGCCTGAAAATTTGGTCATGCTGTTCAAATTTTAAATAATCATTACTCATTTCTTTGGAAATTGATTGTTTTCACAATCTAGAACATGAAAATATTTGCATATAGCATGACCAAGTGTTGTTGGGCTGGCGTCGCCATCATTAGTAGTTATAAAAAAGTAATGTTTTCCAGGGCAGTAATGTTTGCCAAGGCACATAATTGGATTATGTGGTGAAAATATTTCCTTTTTTGCATAAAAAAATATATATTGGACCACAAAAGACCTAAGACTGTAACCAAACTTATATCACATCACCACATCATACCCAAATCCATGCTCCAATGAATCTCTGGACTTCTTCCTGTATAAATCTCAAAGTCGCAATATAAGCATTAGGACTGTCTGCAGCAACCCACAGATTTATCCCCCACATAGTAGGCCATCTTTCATGAACTGCCTAATCCCCAACCTATTCCTTGATTTGACAGTGTGTTCGTCAACAGCAATTTTCTGTGATGGCTGGTACAGTTGTTGATGCAGTTTATTGCTGTAGTCTGCAGTGACAGAATCTTCCATATTCAGAAACTTTGCTTTACAGCGCTTTGTACCTAAACCGAGAAATTATTTCTATTGACCACAGACCAGGTTTTTACACTCCAATAATTCAACCTGCACATACTAAAAAGGTAATCAACCTCTCAATCTCCTCAAGGTTGGTGGACTCCAAGACCCTTCTTTATTAGTATATGGGGATGATTTTTTGATTATTTGTATGTGGGCATATGTATTGGTATGGCCGGCAAGAGAGCCGAATGAACTCAAGCTCACAGTTCATACTTCTGTTGAAACCTTGATCGAAATGGATCCCTGACATATCAGTGAGGGCCAAAATCTGGGATAATATTCCTAGTGTCAGCATCACCATATCTGTCATGTACTATGGGGTCTAGTGGGGGTGCTAGACAGGGAGCTTTCAAAACCTTGGGTCCTAGTGGCTGGGCTTCCCTCTACCTCCACTCATCCCCTACCTTCCCTCTACACTTACACGTTTTCCTAATGGGGGTTGGGGAGTGGGGTTCTCATAACTCTCAGAACTGCTACTTCCCTGAGGCTATGAAACAGGAACAGCAGCTAGGAACAAGATCAATATCTTTGTAACTGCAAATAAAAAGTTTTTTATAGACATAATCTACATGGTGCCACTTGAAATTATAATAAGAGCCAAACTAGTAAGATACAAGTATGAATACTTGGTCTGTTATGTATGTAACAAACAACCAAACATGTGCTCAAGGTTCATTTTACTTTGCCTAGGAATCAGAGTTTTTCATGCCTAAAACACCATAAATTTTCGACAACAATACAAATAAATACCATTTATATTTGTCAATTTCAGTATGGAAGGATTATTTCAACACACAAAATGCGATATGAGGACATACTTGGTCGTTCTAGTGAAGGTATACTAAATGCAAATAAATTTACAACGCCATGGCAATGGCAAAACATTGAAATGGAATGTCTAAAAATGATCAAAATACTTGCCTTGAAACTCCAGACACGACTCCCAATGCCAGATTGAGATACTTGTCTTCGTACGAAGACTTTCCGTCATTACTAGTACTATCAGTTTGCAAAATAAGGCCAAGAACATCTTAAGGATGCGATTCAAACAATACAATTACAACACAATACATTATGCTTGTGTGCGATAATGAGGAAAATTTGCATAAATTTCACCGCATTGATCATTTCAAGGTAAGATATTTGCTTGAAATTGAGCAAGAAACAATAAAATTATACCACTATTTCGGAATATATAGTATCGATCAAGCGGAATTTTTTGGTGGTATTTTCGTATTTCTACTGCAAATACTCGCGGAGTTCTTTCATATTTAATCTTCCCGTCACATGCTTGTCATTTTTGTCAAATGGTAGGTCAGAAAGATATTATTGGCGATTTGTGTTGACTAATGTTAGTAGTTTATATAAAGGTTAAAGTCATGTGCCAATCAAGTGCCACGATTTTGAAATAAGCTTTCGAAGTTGATATATTTTGAGATGATATCCGTTATCTGTTCAGGAGGGTCAATAACTGCACTGTTTTCTATTTTATACCAAACAATAATTATCTAAGTCATATCACCAATGAAAATAGAAGGATAAGTTTATACTTCTGAGCAAAATTTTTGAAATTTAGGTATGAATTTGATTTAAAAAATAGCGCTGAAAATATGTTGATATTTTGCCTTCATTCGGAGTTCAAGTTGGTTACCAGCCGGTCGAACATCAATCGCCCCCAAAAATAATTTAAAGGAAACTTGAGTAAAATGAAATCGATTTTAGTTTTTCTCAAGGATAGATCTTCAAAATACTAGAGTATGAGAGAAATCTATTTTTGAGCCCCATATTGACCTGGAGGTTTTTACAGAGACAGCCTCTTAAGTATCCAATTTATTACACATGGCACATCAAATAAACACAAATATGAATATCTAATTCCAAATAATACTTTACAACAACGAAATATCAGATTAAAATTAAAACAGCAAAATTCGCAAGACCTTTACGGATAATCCAATATAAAATTTTGTACACAACAACAGATATTTGATATATAAATTGATTTAAATATCTTAGCCAAAAGGCTGAGAAGCGATGCCTTCTTTGCCGTTTGTCACTGATATTTCAATGGAACACTTGTGCTACAAAAACATGGTGAAAAGGAGCTCGCTTGCGAGCGATTATGACGTCGACCAACACTTGATTACTTGTTGTGATCGCCCACCGCGAATTTCGCTGTTCTGTCGCGCACACGAGTTCCATTGTGGAGAGGAGCACAGCGGCCATGTTGCATTGACTGTGAGACAAGAGTTGCGAACGTGTATCGGCTTTCGTGCTCTTTAAAGATTCATGAATTACGCCCAGCTTCTTTCACTCACAAATTGCATTGTGACCCGGAAAGGTTTCGAGTCACACAACGTGAAATAATGCGAGACTAGTACGACAATGAATTTCTCAAGCCATGTTAATATTTATTATTATATGTAGTTGAATGAAAACACGCTCAGGTGTATATCGACACAGGATAATAAAGTGTTACAAGTCATATGATATGTATGTTATATATGTTGCTGTCTATGCACGAGAAAGCCGATCGGCTGCCATTTCACGTGGTAGTGTAGGTGAGGATGGTGTTATATCAGCATGTGAAAAACCCCTGTGTAAGTGTGTGTTCGGTTTAACCTAAAGATTGTTTTATTTTGATTTGTTTTTGAGATAAAAAATGTTCTTTCCCAAGTGGGGAAGGGGCCATACTCATGGCCGAAGTCCAACAATCAGTTTAATATATGAGCTATGCATTGCCTAACATATCAGATATTCAGCTGATAAGAACAGATACTACACCTGATCTTATTTTGAATTAAACAACAAAGGTTTAAACGATTCCAACAGTGCAATGGAATCTGCAAACGTGTGCATTATTTGCCGTACCCAGAGGGGCCGCTACCCAGGAACTAGATCTTCAGAGAGTATGACTCTCTCCCTTGTGCCATGATGCAATCATGAATGGCCTGGACGATCGAATGCAAAACTTTCTCACGTCCAGGGGTCGCTATACCTATGATGGTGAATGCTTGGGAAAATGAGATTAAAAAACTAAACACGACATCAATATGAGCAACCCCACTGGTTGAACAAGATCGGAAAAAATTGAGAAAACTTCCATGCAACCCACAAGGACAAAGCCCAAGTGAACCATGAAAGAAAAATTGAGAGGAAGACAGAAATGACTAAAGAGGAAACAACTGCTCCCTTGAGCAAATGACAGTAACAAACGAATTACAAACGAAGAATGACTGACAAGACATTCAATCACACTGAATAGCGGTAGTGCAACCAATGTAGGTGACCGCCTTATGCAGGGGGAAACAAATTAGAGAAAATTACAAGTGACATAAAACAGACAAGAGAGCTTTGAAGGCGACAGCAATACAACCAATTAAGGCGACGCCCGTGCCTCCAGAGAACCACAAGGAAGGAAGACACTCAGGTTATGAAATCACCTGTGAACCGAATCCAGCCCTGTTCAGTGACAGATTCAATAATGCCATTGACAAGCCAATCACTAACAAAATGTTTAGGAGAATGACATTGACACCGATGCATATGCACCAGGAACCAGAAGATGGACCAGGCTTTCCTCATGGTTTCCGAGACATTCTGAGGAACACCGTCAAAACAATGGCTATTACAAGCCAACCAGATATGATGCCGTAGGATGCCCAACAAAACAGTGAAGACCAATTACCAAATGGACAGGTGGTAAAAAGGTGAACTAAAGTCTCATGCTGACCACAAAAACACAGAGAGTTCACATTCATCCCAAAACGAACCAGGCGATCGGCAGTTGGAAGGATCCCATGAAACGAAAGCCATGCTGTATCCTGAACAGAGTGAACAAATCTCCAAATGCGAAGACTTGCCTTGGCTTCTTTCCAGTTTACTGAAATGCCAAGATCACGAAACTTTCACCAAAGATCGATGCTCGAAGGGAATAACTGATGGAATAACGGAATAATCGATGCAAGAAGGGAATAACTGATCTGGGCAGAAACCTGATCAACAGGGAGAGGATCAAGACCTGGACGAGGAATTATCCAATGTTGACCATCCTTTTCACCCTTGAGATCTACCCAAGTATGAACCAATGATGCATAAAATGTAGGGGGCCGTTTGATTTGATATGCGGGAATGGTGTCATGTTCAAGCAAGGAGGCCACATCTTGACTGGGGAAAACCAAAGAGACATAAAAATAAAAAAACACTCTGCATGGATGTTGCACTGGATCAGAAAAATAGCAACGAAGCCAAATAGCAACAAAGCCAAACTGCACAAAGAGATGAAACCTTGCAAGAAACCGCTACCACTCCCAGACCTACATCATTCAAAGGCTGAACAACAGACGAATGAGCCATCCACTGCTTAGATTAGATTCAGATTAGATTCAGGAGGAGAAAGTGAACGCTCCAAGGAACCAATAAAAAAATCTTAGTCACTAGGCACGAGGATAGCTACCATAAATAAATTAATGTAAAACAGACACCAAACCCGTATAATTGCGGATATCGGATCTTGCAACAACCCCCTGAGCATTCTTGATGCCAGAAAAACGCTGTTTAGTTGCTCGCGATTTTTCTTGTCTTTCTCATGTTGCCAAGCTTGCCAAAACTCTTGGATCCGATTACAGTAAGTATTGTCTTTAAGCAGAGATGTATTAAGCTTCCACACATCCGGACCATGCTTCGGCAATGATGGAAGAGTCAATTGAAGAAAGACATACAAATGATCCGAACGGAAGAAAGGGTAAATGGCAACATCGATAACATGTGAAAGTAATAGAGATGAGACCCAAAACATGTCCAAGCAAGATGCCTGCGATCCATTGGCCCGGTGCCAGGTATAACTGTGGTCGATTGGGTGTCGTAAATGCCAGATATCCTGAAGATCAAATTCGAGTGTAAAATTGTGCAAAGAACAATTATACACCCACAGAGATGATGGATTGCAAGTCATCACAAGCAATTGTACGGAGCGAAGCATCTAATTTAGAACCAATTGATTCAAAAAAGGACTCACCATCAAGTTTTCAGTTTGGACCATAAAGATTAACCAGTTGAAATGATGAAGAATCCGTAGCACAAATGGAAAATTTAAACCACTTGAAGACGTCCAATATAATCATCTAATATAATAAAAGTCCTGCTATTCACTTATGAAGAAGGTTTATATAAAATGGCTATGCCATAACTTCTTACAGAAACAGGAGAAGATAAAACAGAGTATCATTGCAAATTGTTGCCAGCCTGTGTCTCTGAGGAAAGCCGGTCCACAAACTCATCACACGAAATAGAATGTGCACACAAAATCAGCATTGACACAATTTAACCATAAAATCAAAGCATTCTGCTTACTCTGGTCACAGAGTCCTTGACAATTCAAGGCAAGTATAGACAGATGATTATAATTAATTGTAGTATTCGCCATAGTGAACTTTAATGAAACAGAAAATTTTTAACATGAATATTTTTGACATTGCAGAAAAGGCTTAAGCCGATTCCACCAGATTGTTCTCATTCAGAGGAGAACGAGAACCATCAGGTGCAAAAAATCAAGAAATTACTCTAGATTCTTCAGAGGCCTGCGAGTCCTCTGGTTCAAGAGAAGGACGTTTCCCTGGCTAAACACCAGGGAGGTATGGGGTGATCTGTGTTAAAGGAGAATCGGTGTTGACTGGAACCAATTGAACCAAATCTGTATCAACTGGAAGAGGGACATGTTCAGGTTGAATTACCAATGCTAAATCCGAGTCAAAGGATAAATCCTCTGACGCCCTTCCTTAACTCTCCTCCGGATCACTCTCACTAGAAGGACACATACCCCTAGGTGTTTTATCATGGCGCGATCCTTCTTGGATCTAGGAGAAGACATTTTTTATATGCAAAATCCTGCTTAACTAATTCTCCAGGCACAGACACCATTTCCACCGGAACAGAAACCACAGGATGTACTTTTGAGGTTGATTTACCTTCCCGCTCTGGGAAAAGAGAACTGGACTCAACAATCACATTGGTATACCCTGCAGAAAGAGCAGGTACAGACGAAGAACAGCTGCCGCCACTGGAGAATCAGGGACAACGGGAGGAGGGTCACCAATTTCCTTGTGTTCCGGAACGTTATCTAATTGCGCACCCGACTTCAACTGCCCGATCAGGACAGTCACCACGCATGTGGCCTTCCTTACCACATTGAAAACCAATTTCTTTTGTCCTTTGTAATGGACAAAACACCAATAACCAGCGATTCGAATGCTCGCAGGAATATGCCAATGGACCCTCCATCAAAACATTTTGCACCCCAGTATAAACATTAGAATACTGCTCACTCTTAATTAATTAAATGCGACCATGTGGCTACAGGGCCTGAGAAATCTCTACTTCGGGAATACCACAAGACAGGCAAGTGATATTAACCCATTTAAATGTCGATGTGGGCTGAAACTCCACCGGCCAGCCACAAACTAAGAAACCCATCTGTTCGGCAGCTTCTAACTTATGAGCGCTTTTGCAAGTGAGCTGAAAGTGCCATGGTGCCATCAAGACCACAGCCTCAAACATGTCAGTAAAATTATCACACTGTCTATGCAATTCGTCTATGACCTCACACACAATAACATCTTTCGCATCACCCACCAACCAAAACCAGCCAGAAGATGTCGGCGACCACCAACAACAGCTGGAAAACGAAAAGAGGCCAACACCAAGGACCACAGGATGGAAACCAGCGAGGAGACATCAGCAATCACCAGAAACTTTCGAAGACCAAAACAGAAGCAAAAAAGAACACCAATATTCACTGTTTTTCTGAATATGACGATCAATGGACCAACTTGATTCTTAGCCAAAAGGCCGAGAAGCCATGCCTTCTTCGCCGTTTTCAACTCATATTTCAATGGAGAACACTTGTCTGTGGCACGCAAGTTACTTATGCAGCTAATAGTGTCCAAAGAGTCAAAGTGTTTACAAAATATATATGTAGCTTTACTTACCATAATGAAAACAAGATGAAGATTTCGAATAGACATGCACAGAGAATATAGAGTGTCTTCGCGAAGTGCGGATAAATGATATTGTTTGACACGTGAATCTATAAAGAAAAATGAAGAATATATTTAAAAAGTGTATATATTTAAAAACCCTAGGTTAAAAAGAAAAGACCAGCTCCTCACCCTTGAAATGCCCCCAAAGTACCCCGCGCAAGCCACTCCCACTCGTAAGAACGAAATTGGGCGGGAGATTTACACTTCCGGGCCTGAAAACACAAGACAAACTTGATCTTTGTGATCGCCTTCTTAAGGCATTCCGACGCCAACGGCATCACGAAAACGGAAATTGCAGCATCCAGATGATGACCATTGGGATGCTGCGACACCGCTCCAAAGAAAAACCAAAGAGCAACTCAACCACAGAGAAGGGTCTCACCACAGGATCAACCTGCACCAGGTTGAAATACACCCAACTGACCAGCAACCGCACAAGCTCACATTCAAAGAACATGTGTTCCAGCGTATCCTTGTCTGCTCGACAAAAATAATTGGCATCAACATGACTCATCTGAAACCTGTTTGCCAGGCGGGCACCAGTGTACAATACACCATGTGCTATTTTCCAATTGGTTTGCTAGTTATTGCTAGAAGAAAAATGTAAGTACGCGAATAGCAAATTCCTGTGTACCTGTGTGGTACTCAGCTAAAAACAAAGAAGTACCAGACCATAATTTTGGCGTACCTCCGGTACATTGGTACGGGAATTATCGCACCCTGAAGTGACATCTGTTACTATGGCAGTTGATGTAGATTCATCAACTGGCATCTCTTCC